AGAGGAACATGGACGGGTGCCAGAGCGTAGTCTGTATTCTTTATTATTTCACTCTTTTATCTCCCCGAATCCCTCTAACCAGAGCTGAGCCATGTTTATCGAATGTAAGCAGAGTTGTTTCGGCTTGTTAAAATCAGAAGTGACTGGCGCCGTATGTTGACGTCCGTCTTTGTGCTTAATGATATCACGTAATTTAACACGTCAATCCGGGTCTGGTGTTCCCACAGCATGCTGATCAGAGCCGAGGCAATTTTAACACTGGTAGCTTACCGAGTCAGTTGACCCGGGTAGACATGCGTCACTGAGCTCTACCCACTGCCACTAAAAACCGATTGTTCCCGAATTTTTTTTTTTTTTTTTGCCAGTGTGAAAAGGGTATAAATAATCATAAAGATGACTCCATGTTTGATGCTAAATCTGTTTGACAATTTGCTCTAACAAAAACCCAATGCCTGATAAGAGAGATTTTTTTAAATGAAATTAACCAAGAGAAGTGCACAGAAAATACATGACAGGGTTGGTTTTTGAACAGACTTGCTCATATAATCCTGGAAAAATGCTTTGACCCACAGATTTTCTGAAGGTGACAGATAATTTGTGTCCATCAATGATCTTCAACCTTATAGAGTTTACATTTCTAGTTTAAGATTTTTTTATTCAAATCCTGTTGAGGCGGACATTTTTATCCTCTGCTGAGGGGACATTGATAACAAACGTTTGTAGAAAAGGTTTGGAAATGGCCTTTTCTCCGGTCTTTGTTTTCACATGTACTCCTGGAAGAGTAATCAAACATTCCCATTAACACTTCCCTAGATCATGTGGACAGCCTTCTCAAAATACCTAAAGCTGATACAGTTAAGGAACGGTGAACAAACTTCATATTGAACCCTGTTGATTAAGAATGGGATGCCATTTAGATACACATGCGACTTAAGCCAGTTGAGTGTATATTTTAGGATATATAATGCATTTTTTTCATTTTAGAATTAGAAAAAACATATTTGTAAAAACATACGATCTTATCAAATAGGCATCTCTTATTCTGAATAGAACAGCTGATTATTCTCATTAACGTGTCACAGAATGCTGCATTGAGTGAATGAAGAGTTAATCACTCATGATGTCACCGGTTATTGTTATACCTCACTGTATTTTCACACAGTGGTAGTTACCGGATTAGAGTCTGGTCCTGGAAACACCCTCCTACTGATTACAGACAAAAGAAGATTATATTTATCCAGCATGTTTTATTGTGTGTTTTTTTTTTTTTTAAACCCTGTTTTAATACTAAACCTCTCATTTAGAAGTGACCCTGTTCTGCAAGGCAGGGCGGCAGTGCCAGGATTGAGAATTCGGGATTCTGTTTTACTTTTGTTTTATTGCTTTTGTTGGAAAAGCAGCCCTCAAGTCACCTATTAAAGGAATAGATTTAGGGACTATTTAAAGATGATACATGCTGACACGGGCAGAAAAGTTTCCTTTTTTTCTCTCTAAAGATAACAAGTGCAATGATTTTGTAAGGAAACATGCTGTATATGATAAGACATTTTTTTTACATTCCTCTGCAAAGCCTCTCTTGCTCCAGTATATTTGTGTGCAGGATAATGTGGTTGCTGCATGTTTTCTCTACAGAGGTTGTCACTTCTCAGCACTTCCTGTAGGCATCAGAGACAGACGCAGGGTTTATCCATGTCACATTGTTGACTGGCTGTCTGTCTCCCTCTGTGCATCTCAAATCTCTTTATCTGGACCGACAGCTCTGACAATCATGATGTTACACTTATGTTTACAGAGACCTGGACCCTAAAGAGCTTTGCTGCATAAAATCAAAATAAGGTGAATAAATGTACAGAGAGGTAGCCTCAGCTAGGGACTGTAAATTTTACAGATATGAGAACGTTTATTCCACTTATATAAATGAGTCATGATTAAACTATATAGGTTAAGGGTCTTTGTTGAATTTTTTTGTTTGTTTTAGTTATTTAAGAAATGGGCACAATCACACGGATTGATAAATGCATTCTAAAGTGATGTTAATTCCAGGGATTTAATGTTATAGGTTTAGTACACTTGTTTTGACTTTTCACTTACAGGAGTGTTCTTTTGTTGACCCTTTAAATGGCATCACTAGGCTTTAGGTCCTTCCCTAATTGGGCTAGGCAATTAACTGCATTTGCAATATAGTTACAGTTTATAAATGCAATTTTCCAATGGCAGACACTCTCAATTTTAATTAGATTACATTTAACAATAGCAAGACTCTAACTTCTCTCACTTCAGTCCATTAGGTAGTGGCTGTGTGTGTCTAAAGTGGGTTAGCTGTCACACAGAAGATAGTTGAGAAAGACAGTGACTTTGTGACTTTTGTTTATTCTTTTTATTTAATTTTTTACTTTCGTTTGTAGTACTTTGAGATACTAATGTAAAATGCACTATAAAATAGGGGTGTCCTGATACCACTTGTTCATTCCTGATATGATTCGTTTGGCAATCTGATATTGGACCAGAAATCGGTGTAATTTTTTGATAAACTGCCCGTCCTTTCATTGTTTTTATTCTACATATGTTATTATATGCTTAGCTGTAGCTTTATCAACCTATTGTAGCCTTTTCTTTTTTTTATTATTTATCTTTAATGTACAGCACTTCAGCTTTGGCTGTTGTTAAAGGGCTTTATAAATAAAGCTGATGGTAATGATGAAAATAATTTTCAGAAGGGAAACTGAAATGGAGTATATATATATATATATATATATAATTCCTTGTAGCTGGTTGGTAGTGCTACAGAGCCCTTTCAAGAGATTAATTTTCTATCCTGGTAGATGCAGTGAAACTGTCTTTGTCCGCCCTGTGCTGGAGTCAGTCCAGGGTGTGCCCCAATTATTTCCCAGTTACAGCTGGAGATACCTGCCTGCCTCTCCATGACCCTGTAGAGGCAAGGCATTACAGACGATAGTTAATTTCAATTCAGTTTATTTATATAACGCCAATTCACAACACATGTCATCTCAAGGCACTTTACTGAGACAATTCAACCAGATCATACAATCAGATTGGTTCAAAGTTTTCTATCTAAGGAAAACCAGCTGATTGCATTGACTCACTGACTCGAAAGTGATCCCTCACGCCAAGCATGCTGGTAGCGACAGTGGAGTATAAAACTCCCTTTTAACAGGAAGAAACCTCCAAGTGAATCAAGCTAAGTGTGAGGGGCCATCTGGCGAGGGCGACCGGGGTACAAGGAGACAGAAGCAGACATACAGAAAGAAGCAGAAATACAAAAGGCAACTGTCAAAAAGGCAACTCCATAGGCGGCCCCTTCCAGGAAACACACATCCAGGCAGACGAGCTCCGACACGGCTCCCATGTCAGAGGATGAAAGAGAGCACATGCAGGTAGTCGCATTCAGAAAAACAGGACTACACTGAAAAACAGGCCAAGCTCCAACATCTATAAAAGGTTTTTATCGCAGCAACACAGCTGATATTTCCAGGATGGAGTCAAAGCCAAACGGTAACAGACCAGATGAAGCTACTGTAACGAAAAACAGAGAGAGCATGATGTTAGAGATTGAACTAATAAATTCTGCAGAATGGGGAAAAAAGGGATGGAATGAAGCAGAATGATGAAAAACCGAGCCCCATGTCCTCCAGAAGTCTAAGCCTATAGCAGCATAACTATAGAGATAGCTCAGGATAACCTGAGCCTCTCTAACTATAAGCTTTATCAAAATGTAAAGTTTAAGCCTACCCTTAAAAGTAGATGGGGTGTCTGCCTCATGGACTTAAACTAGTAGTTGGTTCCACAGTTGGTGCCACAACCTAAATGAAGAAAAGCATTATGACCAGTCTATCTGGAAAACAGTGACTTAATTTTTTTACTTAATTTTTTTTTACGATTATCTAACTGGTATGTTGCAGCAAATCTAAAAGTTTTGCCGAATAAGTGACCATTATAATTCAAAGCCTTTCTCACAGTCCAGCAGAAATGATATATTGCCACAGAAATAAATGTCACAGACATTCAGTAAGTGCTTAAAAAAAAGGAGAAAGTAAGCTCTGAAGCACACCTAAAGGTCAGACTTTCTTTTTTAAAATTATACCACCTGGAACATGGATAAAAAAACCAATTTATTCATTTTATGCTTCTTTTATATTTCAAAAATTATTACAAATTTAAATGGTTGCAAACACAAAAAAACACACTATTTTCTGACGAAAATGTTTTCTTAATTAGAATTGTTTTGCTCGACATCTTGAGCCGTTGGATATAGAAAAGTCATTGGGGTGTGTCTTCTTATTGCAGTTTATACCTGCGCTGATACAGGTTAATAAAACACATCAAATAAACTCATCATTATGTCTGGAATTAAAATTGTCAATTTAGTTTTCAATCAGCTCCTGATTTCACAGCGGTTGAGAGCTTTTTGTAACGTCACATCCTTGTGCAGATTGTTCGCGTCCTGGTTTTCCTCTCTGCTTAAAGACTGCTGAGTGTCTAAAGGACTGTAAGCCTGCAGTCCACTCTCCTCCATGACTAATAGTGTAATTTAGGCCGGCTGATGTGCAGCAGGCAGAACCTTTGAAGTGGAGTAGAGGAAGACAGTGGTGCTCGAGCAGCAACATCAAAGAGAACAAATGGTTTCCATTGAGGTAAACGCTGCTTTCTTTCTTCCTGCGTCTTTTCTTTTCCCTTTGCTCTTTTGTTCTTGTTTCCTTACCCCCGTCCTTCAGCTTGGATTCTTATGAAAGTCTGTAGTTACAGTTTTGTAAAAACCTAGTTTACTCCACAGCTGAAGTGATGGACTCAATGGTGGTTAACAAACCAATCAACAGAGGGTACTTTTAGAATGGGAATTGTGAAAATAGAAATTTTTTAGAAACATTGATCTTTGAGGGAGCTTAAAGGTTGAATTATAAGCTTGATTCAAGTTATGATGTATAAATGTCGACTTAAAGCAAAAGATGCACCAAGTAGTGATCAGTTTTTTCTGTCTGCAGGACGTTGAGATACGGACCAACGCCGCTCTCTACCTGCCTCAAATCAGTGACCTGTTGAACCGAGTTCCCAGACAGATGCTGTTGCTGCTGAAGACCAACGACCTTCTGAGGGGCATCGAGACCACATTACAAACCAGAGCCTCATCCTCGTCCTTTATCAACATGTCCCGCTGCTGCATACGTGCCGTTGCCAGGTCAGTGTCCTGATTCTGTTGTCAGTGCTTCTCACTTCTCCAAAGTCGCTAGATGATTGAAATGTTGGAAATTAACTTTACTTTTAATCTCTGCCCAAAAAGTAAAGGGAAAACATGAACCAACATATATCTTCAATTAAATCTAATTTATGTGAAATCAAACTGTCCACTTAGGAAGCAACACTGATTTACAAGAAATTTCACATGCTGTTATGAGAATGTAATAGACATTAGGTGGAAATTATTGATGGTTAGCAAGACAGACTAAATAAAATAGTTGTTCCTTGGGTGGGGAACACAGACCACTTCTCAGTACCTATGTTTACTGGCTGGTGTTTTGGTCACTTTTGAAAGTGGGTGGTGCTTTCACACTCATAGTAGTATGAGACGGACTCTACAAGTGGCTCAGGAAATGCAGCTCATCCAGGATGGCATATCAATGCAAGCTGTGGCAAGAAGGTTTGCTGTGTCAGTCAGTGTAGTGTCCAGAGGCTGGAGACGCTACCAGTATACAGGTCACTACACCAGGAGAGGTGGAAGAGGCCATAGGAGGGAAACAACCCAGCAGCAGGACCGCTACCTCTGCCTTTGTGCAAGGAGAAACAGGAGGAGCACTGCCAGAGCCCTGCAAAATGACCTCCAGTAGGCCACAAATGTGTATGTGTCTGGACAAACTGATGGATACAGACTCCATGAGGATGGTATGAGGGCCCGATGTCCACAGATGGGTTAGAGCTTGCAGCACAACACTGTGCAGGATGTTTGGCATTTGCCAGAGAACACCAGGTTTGGTAAATAACCCACTAGCGCCCTGTGCACTTGCCTGACCAAATTTCACAGACTTGACAAAGTCTGGAAACACAGTTGAGGCTTTACAGCCCTCCATGTGTCATTTTGACCTTTTTTAAGGACATTCAAAGTTAGTGTTTTTTTCCAATATACATTTCTGTGTGACTCCAAATCCGGGCCTTAATTGGTTAAGGCACAACCTGAGACACATCTGGCCTTAATTGGTTAAAGCCCGGATTTGATCGTGTTCTTTGCTATTTTGTTGTCAGCATATTTATCTTTGTATTCAATGAGATTTTTTTATTTTATTTTAGATCTATGATGCGTTTTTTGAGTGTTTCCTTTTTTGGGGGGGGGCAGTGTACATTTATTAGCTTACTATATTTTTGAGTTTCAAAACTGTCAGTAATCACCTCTTCATTTGATTCCTTTGGAGTTGGATGTGACTAAATCTCGAAATGTGACTTTTTACCTCCTCTTCCTCTGTTCCACTAACAGGCACAAAAGGAGCAAGGCCCAGTCCAGGAGGAGGTGTCTGCAGATCACGCTGGCCGAGTCTGTGAGTCTGTGGAAACTCTCAGTGTATGAACTTCTTCTGTGGGTCAGAGGATCTGTGATGGCTCGCTGGCTTTCAGCTCTGCTGGCGTTTCTGCACTGAGACACATCTGGAACAGGGACATCATTATTGTCTTCAGGCCAGGACGCTCACACAGTCTGGTTTAAATGCTCCACTTGACAAACTTAATCAACAACTTTTCATACTGAATCAACATAATTGTACTTTTCATCTTTAAGACTCCACAATGCTGGGAAGTATGTAAGATTGAAGTGTTATTTATTTATGATGTAGGTCTCATCTGAGATATCACAGTTTCCAAAACAAAGCGGCTGTAAGAGCCCCTTTCATTGTTTGTCAAGCAGTTAAATCCATAAATGACTAAATGAAAAACTGTCTTAACCTAAATATTAAACAGGCCGCTGGGAAAAAAATAATGTTTTGGAAGGAGAGTCATCAGTCCCAGATCTCATTGAGGTGTGGAAAACAGACGGCTGCTGCCCTGATGTTAAGAGTTTTGCCTAATATATACGTGTAGTTTTACTCTTAGGGGTTGGCAGCTTGCATGTGATCTGCTCCATTCCAGCTTCTCAACAAAATACCTCAAAACATCCGTCACATCATACTTTTTCCACCTGACTTCGATCGACGGGTCATGTTTACGGTTTATTTTAGGTTAAACCCCATTCCTTCATTCATAAAGCATGACTTGTATTTCATCTGTTATTGTTAACTGTTCCAATCTAATCCAACTGCATCATGGGATTGTTAGCTCATCAGAGTTGGAATAACTGGGACAGCTGTGAACATATGCAGATAGTAGCATTTTCATTTCTGGAGTGGCTTTTCTTGCCCTCATCATAAAAAGTTTTTACTGCTTCATAAAAGAACATTTAAAGCTGCAGTTTAGTGTTTTCCAAAGATTTTGGAAACCTCACTATCTCAGTATGTTTATGTGTAGGAACTTTCCTGGAAACATCATCTCACAAAGACAATCTTTATAATGTTATGTGATAAATTATGTGCCATAAACACAACCAACAGATATAAAATAAGTTTAATTTAAATTCACTTAGTTTTTGCTGACAGAACCCTACTTCAAATGCTGTCTTGTTATTTTATGGTGCTTTGATGAGAATGAAGTATTCTGTACTTCCACTGCGAAAAAAAAAAATCTCTACACTTCTAGGTCAAGAGTATTATGTTGTTTCTTAATTTAATCTGCCGTATACTGTTTAAGAATTTGTCCCTTTATTTAATTTTGTTTTCAGTTTTAACTTTCTTATTCTCTTTTATTTGTTTTCTATCTTATGTTAGTTTGCATTTATCTGGTGATGGATTTGAATTCATTTATTTGAGCTTAAACGGTCAGACCTGCATCATTTGAGAGAAGATGAAATAAAATGCAGCATAAGTTAACAACATATACAGTGTGACTTATTTCTTTTTTTTTTCTTTAAAGGCTGAAATGAACAACATTAAATCTGACATCAGCAGAATTCAATTAAATTCAACAATACTTAATCCCAAAGTGATGCTAGGATAATTATCATTAACAAGTTGTTATTGGCTGCATGTTGCATCTCAGAACTGATGTTTCCAAAATAGTTATTCTAATTAAGACAGTTCCTCTGTTTGGATATACAGTTATAATCTTAATTCTGTACATGGCAAAGATTTGGAAATGAAATGAGAGCGGTGTCCTTCAGCTAATAACGAAGTGTAATATTTTGATAAGGCTGGAGCCATGGATGTCTACTCAGCCGCTAACATGTATGATGTAATGATGTGATGATGAGACAGACTAGAGATGTATAAAATGCCTTTTAACTTCCTAAGAGGTGAGCCCGGAGGTGAGCAGCTGCCATTCTGTAAACTCTAAGCAATTTCTCTGATCTGAATAAGATTACAATTTCTATCAGAATCTGTGTCTCCTGGTTATTTAATACATACAAGTGATGAAGTGTTATTTAAAGAGTTTGTCCCAAGTGATCTTTTTTCAGGGAAAAGAACCGGAGGGATAGAGCATCAAGGTGCATACACAGATCCTATCTTTAATTGTGAAATCAAATGTCACAGTATCTTCTATGGGTCCCCCCCCCCTTATTTTTAACCATCTGTTGTAGCTTTTCATAACTGTGTGCCTGAAGTTTTTTTGCAAATGATCTGGAGAAGCCTCTTAATGAAGACAGTCTGTTGTTGAAAAATATTTTGGAGAGGATGCTCACTGTTATAAATAATGTTCATAGTAATATAATGGTGATCTTGATGCTTTTAGCGTGATTGGAGATGACAACCATCCAAAGTTAGGTATAGGTATTTTTCAAAGGGCTTTGAAAAATGTCCAAAAAGAGGCATCCTGATTTGATGAATCAGCTCAGCCACAGCTCTGTCACTCCCCTCCGCAATGACAGAGCTCCCGGTTTTATATCTGAATGCAATCACCTAAAAAACAAGTTTGTTAAAACATACTATATGTATAGTTTAGTGTCTGCTTCACTTGTCATGAATATGAATAAAGATAAAAGGTTCTAAAAATGTATCAATTCGGGCTGCATCTCACTGCTTTCTGCTCCAGTCCAGCAGTGGAGGATCCAGTCCAATCAGACAGATCTGCTTGGCTCTGTCTCCTACGATCGCTCCACATCTCTCTCTTTACCTCTAACTATTGTTGACTGCTTAGCCTGAGCTTTGATACCTCTGTTTTTTGTTATTTTTTTAACTTATCTATGTCTCAGCTGTAACACTGTTCTGGAGCGGAGGGCTGAGTTGCTGCTCATGTTCTCCTTCAATAGATGATCTACTTGTTCCTGTCTTTCTATCGCTTACTCTATTTCTCTTATAGACATAGGATGCTCTTTTATGTGCTTTCTTTTATCTTCTAAACTCAAGTGCTGACTTAGAGCTCATCTATCTAGCTGTTTCCCTCTTTTATGAAACCATTACTGGAGCTACTACCTTTTACTACATAGACGGTACTCTTAGATCAGTGCTTCCACATTCCTTGTGTATATCTGTTCTTCTCAAACTCCTAGTTAGTTTTAGCTAGTTATGCACCAGTTTTCTTCCTGGTTAGAGTTTTTTCTCTCCACAGTCACTACATACATGGTTGGTATACAGTAAGGGCTTGCTGTTATGTCAATGATACCATTTAAGCTACTCTCCACTGTCACTATCACCATCTCTAGGATTTTACTGAATTGATTGTAAAGTGCCTTGAGATAACGTGATCATTTATGGTATTTTAATAAAATGACTTCACTTTGATTTTATTTCATTTTGCGTTTATGGAGGTATGGCTCCAAGGCACTGAGAATGCAAATCGACCATCCTGAGTTTCTTACATCATGCATCCTCTTTTCTATAACTACACTTTGCAATTTTTTTCATGAACAACAGAAACGGCATCTGAGCCGAGAGGAAACTTCACAAGATTTGGACAAATGTGTGAATTGTAAACATATTAAATGCACCAAGGAAAACACTTTCATGTGCCCCTTAAAGCACTGTCAAGGAAAATAAACTTCCCTATGAGATTATTATCCTTTTTTTGTTTTATTTGTCTTTTTACGTAATGCTTTGATGTTGTTGAATTTCTCCTGTCACAACTTTTCTTATAACGTATCAATCCAAGATGCAGGTACAGTATATGTGAAAGTCTGTCTTGCTTTTATGACTGTATTTGCATTTTTTCCCCAACCTATTCCATGTGTTTAGAAATTCTCGTTATAAGGTTTTACTTTTTGTCTTGTCCAACTCTTATTGCTGATATCGTACTCAGTAGAAAGTAATTGGAAAAGTCACAGCAGTACCAGCTCAATGGCTGTACTGTTGTCCTGACGAATATCAGAGGTCGTACATTTAACTACTGCTGGAAGGCTATAATTACCTCAGAAATACGCAGAAAATCCAGATTAAGTGTACAGCACCGCTGTGAGGAAAACACTTAAGCGCAGCAGGGTTTTGACTTAAAAACTAATGTCAGCAGGCATCTCACAATTCTCCGAATGGCTTATATTCTTCTGTGCAGCAGGTAAGATGTCTTCTTAAGTGGATGTTAGTTTTTAAGGTTAAAGTCAAACTGGATTTATTTTGTCTAAATAACGCTAAAAAGCTTAAAAAATGAAAGGAAAATCGAGTTTATCAGCTCACAGTGACGGTAGCAGGCCTACACCATCAGAACCTTAGGGACAACCCAGTGGTGCTAACACCAACAGTCTGGATGAAATGAACAGCTTTCACTTTGTACCACGATTCTGCCCGGATTCAGAATATCAGCTCCTCCTTTCTATTTCCATAATCCCTCCAGCAGCCAATCTTAGAGACACACTCCCCAAGTCTGCTGATAATTTGCTTCTTGCTGCAGTTCATCAGCAGAAGTGCATAATTGCAAAAAAAAAAAAAAAAAATGTCCAAAAGGGGAAAATAATTTCTCTATTGCTCTTTGGAAATGTGATCGAGTGTGACTGTTGGTGAAACAGGGTGATGGATTTGCTTATTTTTGATGGGTTAATTAAAATGAGCTCGAGTTTTGGTCTTGGAAAACATCAGGTACACCTTTTTTGAAGCTGCTTTTTCAGTTTGTAAAAGATGCTGTAGGCATACAAAAACTAAACATTTTCCTCTTCATCAGCTCTCACGGTTTGCCAAAGTGTTATAACTGCAGTAGATGTGTCGCTGTATGTGTGTGTTGGAGAGTTGGATCATCCATCTTTATCACCCAGAGCCACCCAGGCCTGCCACTGTTAATAAGGGCAGCTCTCTCTCCTCCCTCTGTGGAACAGGCCTGGAGAAGTACAGAAGGTCACAAACTGATCAGATACACATTTAGAAATGTGATGGTAACAGATTCTGTGGTTTGATAGATATATTTATTTTCTTTACAAGTTGTATTAAAACATTCGTAGTCTGGGCATAGTCTTGGTTCCCTTGGATACACTGATTTCACTTAAACATGTTTCTAGACCAACACATGTCGTTTTTAAGAAGGTTTATTGAGCACAAAGTTGAATAAACACCAAAAAACAGAAGTGGATGCAGTGGCTGAGCTGGTGGGTGACTAGGTGTGGCCATAGCCCTTCCGAGCCTTTTAACACCCCCCCATCAGGTGATTAGTGGACTTAATACACCACCTGGGATCCAGAATTTCCTCTCTAAATCAGTGGGTGGAAGCAGTGATTCTCTTAAGTCCTAATCTGACATTTTACCTGTTAGTATATTAATTATAAACTGACAACAAAATACACTTAATTATTAATATCAATCAACTATTAGAAAAAAAATATTCTTGCTCTTTGGAATTGTTTTTCTGTATTATTGATAAGGGGAAACTTGTCTCTGCAGTCGCTTAGGAGTCTATTTTTATTAGAGTTATGGTACTGCTCATCTTATTTAATGTGTATATTTTGCAAAATGATAAATTACTAAATTAAGACGTGCAGCTGTATAAAAATGTAAGTAGATGTATATCTTAAGTGATTTTTTATTTCTTTGTTTAGAAAATACAAATATTATGCTGGTTTAATTTGTGTTTTTACACTATATTGGTGTTGGTATCTACCACTGTTTGGCCACCCCTCAGTGGGCCATTAATTTCTGCCTAACCATCCCTAAAAAAATGAGATCACGGGGTGTGTGCACCAACTTGCTCCTTCCACAAAAGCCCGTATGAAAGTAATATGGAATCAAAGGTAACTGTGCATTGGAACTGGGAATCTGAAGTTGCAGAGAGATGTTTTGTGATTGTCGATTGTTTTTGTTGATATTTTGCTTCACAGTTCCCTAAAAAATTTACCTCTTTATATTTTTTTAGTACAAGTACACAAACACTGTACCTAGCACGTTTTAAAGTAGTTGTGCCTTAAAGACTACCCAATCTTTTGAATTAAGGACACCAGTGTTTGTTTTACTTTCTCCATCACTAACAAATATAAATTTACAGCTTACCCAAGCTTTTTATTTATCCTGTCAGCATAGGTGTAATAGTCAAAGTAAAAAAAACACAAGCTCTCTAATTTTGTTAGATCTTTATTCAGGTCTTTTTAATCCTAAAAGGAATAAAATCTTGACAGAGGCATCATATAGTTAAGGCTGAGAAACACTGTGCTGATGGTTTGAGCCTGAACGAGGGCTGTGGGCTTTTATGCTGGATGTGGATATGGGTATGGTATTCTCAGAAAACATGGGGCAGTACACTACAAAAACACTGGAAAAGTAGTAAAAGAGAACATTCACACAAACACCAAAACATGGCTGTGTGGCCTATAGAAGAAAATACTCCCTCAATCCGAATACTCCAAACTGTAGCTCCTATCTCCTGTTCTAAGCTCCTTTTTCTCTGCTTTTACAAGGTTAAATGTTATAACACTATTGTCAGTTGGAGAGGAACTTCAGCCTCTAGCTTCACAGATGTCTTTACAAGACTGA